CACACACACCAGTCTCACCCTCAGCGAGTCTCGCACGTGTGGGGAGACCAGAATCAGGCCCTGGGTTTTTTCCACGAGTGCCCCCCTGGGACTGTCTGAGAATGGGCCTCTGGGAACCGACTCCCCCCCCGACTGCGGGGCCTCCGGGAACCAACCCCCCCAACCTCCAGCGAACCCCCGACCTGCAGGGAGACAGCCCCCTCCCCCACTCTGGCTGTGGCTCACCTGATGGCTCTACTTCAGTTCTCTGCTTTCGGGGGCCCCGTTGCTGCAAAGGAAACGACAAAACGTCTTTACGAGCCCACCAAGAGGCCTCTGCCGCTGCCCCGCCCAGGCCCGGCCAGCCCGACGGACACCCCCATGGGCAGCCTGGAGCCCCAGCTCTTACCGTTCGCGGCAATCAAGTTCTCCGCCTGCGCCTCCTCGTCCCCCGGGGCTCTGCAACAGAGACGCACAGTGAGACCCGCGCCCGCCAGGACGCTGCTGCCGGAGCACGGCGGGAGGGGCTGAGTGGGCCCCAGGCCTGCTCACGTTCGGCCCTCCGATTTACGAGCGCTGGACCCCAGGAAAGGACGGACTCTTGTCTGTGCCCAGCAAACCGGCCCAGCCCGGCAGAAGCGCGAACCCACGGGCACCGCAGAGCAGTGGCTGGGTGCGGGGAGGAGACGCTCTCTGTCGGAGGGAGGTGGGAGGAGGAGAGGAGTCCCCGTACCGTGCCTGGCTCTTTCCAGCAGCCAGTCTGCACAAGCATCTCTCCAGGCTTTGAGGGCCCCATGCGACGTACAGCAGCCCCCCCGCAGCCCCTGCACCCCACTGGACCCCTGCAGTGGTGGGGCCAGAGGCCGTGTGCCGGGCTCCACGTGGGCCTACGATCGCCACTCTGCTAGGCAGGCGCCTGAGTAGAAAGGCAGCCAGAACCTGCAAGGGGACGTGCGTCCCCAGGGCTGAGGCTGGTACCTGCACTCGGATCCCTTGGGAAGTGCCCCAGACAGCCATGCCCTCCTAGGGAACCTCCCGAGAGGCAGCGTCCCCTCCCTGCCCAGGGAGCCTTGTGGCCCTCGCTGTGGAAGCCCACGGAGGGGGCCTGCGTGTCTGACGGGCACCGCCCGCCCCCCCCCCGCCGTGGCGCAGCTCTGGGTGTCTTTACGGGCCAGGCGTCGAAAGGGTTCCAATTGGGGGCTGAGTCCCTGAGCGGCCCCGCACGTACCTGGGCTTTTGGCTGAAGCTGCATCTGCACCGCCTGCCTGCAAGAGTAAGAAACGCCCTGAGCGCGGAGGGGAGTCTCCAGGGCTTTCCCCAGCGCGTCACCACCCCTCCCCGGCAGCGGGTCCCTGGGCAGGTGGCAGCGAGGGACAGGCGCAGGGGTGCCACGCAGCTCCTCCTCGGTCAGAAAGGAGAGAGCCGAGGGAGGCTGAGCGCGCAGCACGCCAGGGGGAAGGGGCACCCAGCAGCGATGTGAGAGAGGTCTCGGGGCCCTTCTCCCATCTGCACTGCAGCTGGCAGGGTTCTCTCCGGCCCTGGGAGCTGCAGAGAAGCAGCGGCAGTAGGGCTGTGCCGTCAGCCAGCCCCCGAGCACAGCCCTGAGGTACGAGGAACCCCCGGGCAGCCGGTTCTCAGCCAGGCGTCTCGCCCGGCCACTGACTCAGCCTCACCAACTTACTGAGGATCAGGAGGATTCCGACAGAGAACAGGACCACGGCGAACACCAACCCGCCGATCCTCAGACTCTGGTAATCTAGGAGGCGAGAGGGCAAAGGGAGTTTCATTTCCGAGTGGGCGCAGCGTTCCCACAGACGCGGCCAGGTCTCCCCCAGAGCGCACGCGTCTTAGCGCCATAGGCACCCATCCACACCCACACCACCGCGGGCGCTGCTGCTCACCATAGTTAAAAGGGTCTTTTTCCTTCTCTTGATTCATCGCTGGAAACAAAACAGAAAAACCGTTTGTGAACATGAGCGTGGGGATTACCAGCCCTGTGCAAAATGGCCCTGGGCACGCTGTGAATTACCACTCCTTTTATCGCAGGGCTCTGCCAGGGATGGGGGCTCCCCTGGGCAGGGTGCTGAGCAGACACAGGGAGAAGGTCCCGCCTTGGAGAGCGACAGCCCACGTGTAAGAAGATGCATCTGTACGTGTCCAGGCAGGAGCCTCAACTCTCAGCTGGGCCTGGATGCGAAGAAGAGCATCTGAGATCGGGACGAGCTGCTGTTTCGCTGCCTGTTTGCTCCCAGGGAGATGCCCCAAGAATCCGCTGGGTCCCCCCGTTCGATCTATCAGACGGAGCGGGAGGGGACCCGAGGACTCCGCAGGGATCCCGGCGAAGGGGACACGGAGGCAGAGGGAGAGCCGGCACTTGAGCACGTGCACAGGTTCAGCGTTAGAAGCGTTAGAAGACAGGGCCCATCGATGAACTTACCTGGCAACGCTCTTTTGCAACAGGAGACCTAAGCCCAGTGAACAAACAGAAAATGCACAATCCTTGGGCAGGAGCGAATGAGACCAACCGTGGGGAACGCCCCTGGGAAATGCTCTCCCACAGACCGACAGCCTATCGCAGCAGGGAAGCCATTGTAAACAGAATCTGCTGTGCAGGAGGGGAAACTGAGGCGCACCACCTCCCTGAACTGCTGACTGACTGCCAAACTGACTCATCTCTGGAAAGCGTCCACGTCCGCCGGGCACGGACACCAGTTGAAATGGCAGAGGCAGCATCAGTGCTACAACAGAGAGGAGTTTTCTAGCAGGCCAGGGAAGGCAACTTGCTTGCGCACAAAATCTTTGGAGAAGGGTCAGCGCCAGCTCCCAGCAGACTCTACAGGGTCACTGGCAAAGTGCAAGAGCAGACGCGTGCGAAGCAAGTTAGCTCTGCCATAGTTACAGAGTCTGGCAGCTCTTGGCATCACCTGTCACCTTGGTCCCTGAGACGACAACACAGTGAGGTTTTGCGCTGATTACAGGACACGCAGGGCCGTCTCGGTACCAGCTGCTTGTCCTATGCCTAGCACTGAGGATATCTTAAGCAAAGCTCAATATCATCTCTCTTTCAATCTGGTTAACGGTTGCTGTCCATTCCTTTGGATGGGTATGCCCAGAAAAAAATCTGCTTCCATCACTGACACGGCTCTCTATGGGTTCATGATGGTCCCATTAATTAATGCAGGAGGCCCATTCAGCAACTGGTCAATCGAGCGTTGAACAGATTGCAGGGCTGTGCACGAGCCCGTGCGACAGCAGAGTTTAGCGACACTTGGGCTGATCACACGCACACCGGGGCACTAGGGATGTGAAAATGCAGCTGCGTGCACCGTTAACCAACGAGCCTGGGCTCATCAGTCAACCTTCACGGTTACACGCAGGCTCCCGGGACGCATGGGGAGCCATCTGCTGCCCTGCGCTGCAGCCTCTGTACAGAGGCAGCAGCACAGGGCGGCAGGTGGGAGTGGATACGTGCAGGGAGCTAGCTGAGAAGCCGGGTTCCCATGCACCCCTACTCCCGGAGAGCCTAATCACACACATTTCAACCTGCCTCCTGGGAACCGTGCCCTCCAAGGGGCAGGTCTCATGGTAAAAGCCTCGAAGAGTAAAACTGGCCCGGTTCCTTCTTTTGGAAACTGGTTGGGGGGAGATCAAATAGCCCAGCTCCCTTCAAACTGGCCTGTACCCCAAATGAAGAAACAGACCCAATCTTTCCGGGGGCTGACAGATGACCTGGGGGGAGGGGTCAGTGACTTGTGTCTGCGATCACAAATCCACGTGAAAGCAAACAAAGCTGTGTGCACAAAGGCGCGGGGAAGAAACCTTGTCTGAAAAGCCTGTGCTAGCTAGCCCCGATTTGAAGTGTTCAAACTGTGCAAGGCGGCATCAGACACTGCTTTTGGGGGCCGTGTTCCAGCAGCCAGGGAAGAACAAGAAACACCCTGTCGCTTTGTGCCGCAAGAAACTCCACGCACCGAACAAAACCCTTCTGTGGAGAGAAAGGACGGTGTCTTTGTGTGGGCAGTAACGCAGCGAGAGCCTCTCTTTTCACCAGACCGTTCAGGGTATTCATGGATCCTTCGCCATTGATCTGGCGGCACAAAACCAGCGGCTCACACGCCAAGCCTCGGCGCTGGAGTCTACGCACACACTTATGGAAATCGTGCCCGTCCAGGGAGAAGGAAACATGGTGGCGATGCCCTGTCCAAAGAGAGGGGCCCCCTGCAGCCTCCAAGTTGGCAGCGGCTATAGCTTTGAGGGGCAGGGGTGCCGGAGAGCCCCCCCCCCCGCAATGATCAGTGCACGAGGGATCACGTGACAACTCAGAACTTGCTGACCAGTAAACACCAGGGGAAAGCGCCTGAGCAGCCTCCTTGGGAAGTCGGGACCGTAAGTCACAGCCGTGAGGGGGCGTTTCCCAGGTGAGTCTGGGAAGGGGCTAACCTAGTTTCTTAAAGGGTGAGTGGACGCCCCAGTCAGGGCCCCCCCGCAATGATCAGTGCACGAGGGATCACGTGACAACTCAGAACTTGCTGACCAGTAAACACCAGGGGAAAGCGCCTGAGCAGCCTCCTTGGGAAGTCGGGACCGTAAGTCACAGCCGTGAGGGGGCGTTTCCCAGGTGAGTCTGGGAAGGGGCTAACCTAGTTTCTTAAAGGGTGAGTGGACGCCCCAGTCAGGGCTCAGAGGTAACGGGCCCCCCGCTCTCCAGCAGCCATTCTTTGGCCAGGAA